AGTAGCAGGAGTAGCAGGAGTAGCAGTAGCAGTAGTAGTAGCAGTAGCAGTAGCAGTAGCAGTAGCAGTAGCAGTAGCAGTAGCAGTAGCAGTAGTAGTAGTAGTAGTAGTAGTAGTAATAGTAGTAGTATCAGTAGTAGTAGTAGTAGTAGTAGTAGTAGTAAAAGGAGGAGGAGGAGTAGTATAGTAATAGTAGTCGTAGTAGTACTCGTAGTAGTAGTAATAATAGTAGTAGTAGTAGTAGCAGCAGTAGTAGTAGGGGTAGCAGCAGTATTAGCAATTCTACTACTAATAGTAAAAGTGTTACAACTATGACTACATACTATTACTTCTACTGCTACCACTATACTACTACTAGTACTATTACTACTACTACTACTACTACTGCTGCTACTACTGCTGCTGCTACTACTGCTACTGCTACTTGCCCTACTAAGACTAACTCCTACTCCTACTACTACTAACTCCTACTCCCACCACCACCGCCACCACCACCACCACCGCCGCCACCACCACCGCCACGACGACGACGACGACGACGACGACGACGACGACGACGACGACGACGACGACGACTACTACTCCCACTTAATACTACCACTACTGCCACCACCTTTTCTTATTCCTATTCTACTTTTTACTTATGATGAATACTACCACTTTGTCACGCTGCCTATTGGCCAGTGAATGAGCTCACAGGTCAACAATCCGACACTTTGGAACTTCTGCATCTCACGGAAGACAGCAGCAGCAGCGGGGGCAACAACAGGTGTGCGTCACTTGGACTGAAGACATGATGCTTTCCAAAAAACCAAAATATACGCCACCCCCCTTTTCCAACCCACGCCCCTTCCCCAACCCACCCCCCTTGCCCAACCCACCCCTCCTCCCCAGCGCCTGCACATGTCAAAACTACACGCTCGGGCGCCGTGCTTCAACTACTAGATATTAGCTACAAACTACGCACAACTCACTTGCAATCAACAACTATTCACTACACAAACAGCTGACTACTGACTGACTCTGCTACCAGTGCTGGTACTACTACAGCTGCTACCAGTAATACTGCCACCACCGCTGCCGCCAATGCTGCTACTGCTGCTAATGCTGGCACTCCTGCTGCTGCTGCTGCTGCTGCTGCTGCTAGTGCTAGCTACTACTAGAACTGTGACTACTGCTGCGGCCACTTGGTAATGAGCACGACGACGATGTTGCGGTGATGATGCGTCTCTTCATGGTTCGCACTATTATTGTACTCTTGCTGTGGCTCAATATTTCAGCATGTTGGCTACTTGCCAGTCTGGATAGCTGCAGTTCACCATCAAGCTCAGACCTGCCCATGCGTTTATCAAGGTCCTCGACCAGCTGGTACGTCTGGTTGCCAAGCTGCTCATCTGGGTGGACCCTGACACTTTCGCAGCTGAAGCCCACAAAGGATACGGCGGATCTCCTGATAAGCACCTGCCGAAGAGAGCCTGATACTTTTTCAAACGTAAAATGAACTTCTCAGTGTTACCCTAGGCCACGAATCTCAGAGTGACAGTCTGCAGCCCCAATGGCAGGAATTTTGTGACGTGCTGGCCTCACGTTTCCTCATTTTCCCTGATGTTGCAACCGCAAGATCCAGATGCTGCAAGCTTGTATCTATCGGCGGTGGGGGCAGGCTTCTCTGGCGCGGCTTCGCGAATGTATACCAGGACATCGGCACTGGTCCAAACCCTCTCTGTCTCTCCAGCGAGGCAAAGTCAAATTTGCCAGGTCGTGCAGCAACGACCAAGATCTCAGCCTTCACATCTATTTGGCCATGTCCCGCAATCAGGGCCCCGTACACTACAAAACAACTTTGGATTTGTTGAATCTAGACGACAGGCATCATTTAGACAACACCCAATGAGCTTTGTAATGTCCAAGATCATCCGATTTTTCAAAAGACAGGATCCCACGATTCCATGCAAACTCCCGGCGTAGATGACTCTCTCATACTATGCTTGCCAGTTGTTAGAAGGAAATGGAGGGACCCTTATAGCAGCCCCATTTCTAATTTCTTTGGCAGTCCTTTCCCTGCTAAGAACAAGAGAGCATACCATAGAGCGGTGACTGCGAAAGTTTAGCACTTCAGGAACGGGTTCGCTCACCAGGTTCTAAACATCGGTTTCTCAAAGTCGTCCCTACATGATCCCCATGCTTGACCCCTAGAATCTCTACATATACCCCTAGGGCCCTAGGGGCTGAGCAATTTTGCCATGAGCTCCATCAAGATGGCCCAGAACTTTGAGAATATCGGTTAAGAATGTCCATCTCTCTTTGGCCTCTTCAGTTTCATTTCCAAGCAGGAATCTGTCCAGCCGTCGACACCGCCGATGTGTCCAAGGCTTCTTCCACGCAGCTCGTCGCACGGCAGTGGTGCTTGCACTGCAAGCCTTGGGAGGGTGATATGGGAAACAGTGTCGCAGTTTACGAGCTATAGCAAATCTTGCGGCTTGGGGGTCTCAAGCCTTAGTGACAGCAGGTCAGACAAGCAGCGGAAGTGCTTGGAGATTTGTCCGTAATACCCTTCAAGTCACTTCGGGATCTGCCTCAGGTTGTCAAGGAGATGTATCTCGTCGGGCTGAGGCGGTCATCTCCCTCCACCACGGTGGAGGTCGCCTCGAACTTACAAGTCCAAAGAAAGCAGCAGGAACCATGGTCCGAAATCATACGCTACGTGCCTTCCACTTCTGGATGCAATTCCGGTGCTATTCTCCATCATCCACTTAAGCCTCATTCCTTGTAGCTTTTACCTTTCAATGATACAGGATCGCCACCTGGTCCACATCCTGCGGAAATGTGCGTCCACGCCAAATGCCCGTGGTGCTCTCGCTCTCGTCCAGAGGATAATTTGGGACGCTGCCGAAGGCAATGGGTGAGAAGGTGGCATTCCTTAGTCAGCTTCTTTACCATCGGCAAATTGTTCTAGACGCTGTCAGGCAGGCAAATGTTAGCTTTCCAAATGTTCGAGGAAACACTGATAAGATTGTTCAAGAAAGACTTTCTTTCGAACTCATGAAGCCCGACATGAAGCTCACATTAACCATACTTTCCCCCAGGCCCAAACTATCCCCATAAAACTTACATCTCACCCCAGCAACAAGGCAAGTTTCAAGCCAGGACCGCGACTCGGACCGCGGCGTAGAAGCGTCACTCTCCAGGAGTGTTGTGGCAGCTCCTCCTCGCAGTTTTGTTTCCTTCTTTGAGTTTATGTGGCCGCCAAGGGTTTGGAGTTAAGAGTTCCAAGCTTTCTGATGACTTGCTGGAGCATTTGAGGGGTTCCTAAGCAACCATTTCATACGCTGAGAACCGTTGCACAAGTCCGCACTTCGCATGTGGGAGTGGGGTGAGGCTTATATATGTTATATATGCATGCACATAGATAGGTCAGGGGTGCGAGGCTCTAGGGTTCCCCGACATTCTGAATGCGATATGTCAAGAAAAAGCTCGTTCAAAGGATCATTTTAGGCTAGCATCTCCTTTAGGAAGCGACTGGAGCGCGTTATGGAAGAACTTCTTGAGGCTAAAAGGTATGTCACAGGTCTTTGTGATGGTTTTAGGGGAGTCGGCCTACGAAACTCTATCGTGAGTTAGAAAACGACAAGTCAGGGACTTTATGCATGTTGAAAACCGGTATCATGTAAGCCTCGGGAAGGATCAATGCAAGTTTCTCGTCAGCTCCTCAAGGATTGAAGGAATGACTGGTGGGTTGAATCCTCGGAGTACCAGCTGATATTGCCCAGCATGGAGCCAAGCCCTCTTGGTGCAGCTCTGACAGGTTGCGCTGAGGGCTTCCACATCGATAACCACCTGAGTATACATCGTAGGTAGCCCCTTCATAGAAAATAGTGAGACCAGGAGCATCCGTTGCTTGAACAAACAATGCCCACCTTGCTCTCGACAACAAAGCACTTCACCCGTGACCGCGGCAGCGAAACCTGGCTTTTCATAGGATCATCATAAATTAAGGTAACGATTGCTCCACGTTGGGCCGAAGGAAGGTTGTCAAACATCCAAACCCTAACCTGAACCAAGAAACCACTAATTTCAAATAAAACTGATGATCCGGTCCAATGTTCCAGAAACATATCGGTCTGCGGCACATGCCGCAAAGACTGACGCACTGAGGTCGCCCTCCAATGAGGTGCACAGGCTTCCAAGTCCACTGCCTACCTTACGCTTCCAGAAGCAATAGGTTAGCCCAAGGTTTTTACGGCCCAACTTGGGGCTCAAAGTTTTAAGACTCGGGGTTTACCTTTTGCAAGGCAAAAAACTCAAAGGCGTTAAAAGATACTGCCTGGATTGAAACATCCTGGTAGGGCGGATCCTCGATCATGAGCTCAAAGAAGGGGCCTGGGTCAAGTCATGCGGCAAAATGTTCTCGTGACCATCTACAGGTCTGCTCATTTAAAGCTCTGTAGAAACATGCGAGATCCGATTCTAAAACTCCAGCTCTGCTCGAAAGAAGTTCAGTATTCATGTTCTAGTGAATTCTGTCCAGCCACATGGCCGTGCAAGATTTTGTTCGATCTTGATCGCAGCAGGCTAATTATGTTGCGCTCATGGTGCAAGTGATCTGACGTGGCAAATGCAACAGCAAAAGTCCTCTGGATCCCTTAACGCAGCTTGTGCCTCGAGAAACCATGCGAAATTCGGCAACCCGAGATGACAAAAAAAGAAAGCTGTTGACAATCCAAACCCCTACACGATACCAATACATGGCTCAAGAAAGTTCCGAGGGGCAGGGAACCCTTGCAGGGTCTTCTTCACGCTGTTGACCCGGCTCCCAGCTACGCTGTGCCTAGGTTTATGGCTTCAGCTCTAAGATTTAGGAATTGCTTATTTAATCTAATTGTGTTTTGAAGTCTGACTGCTGTTGCCGTATTTGAGAATCCTATGAAGCCTCAAGCTGCTGCAAAAATCGAAATCTCAACATGCATACCAAGCCCCTAGTGTTCCCATGTGCAGCTTGATTTTCCTCTGTGCTGCTGATACACAAAACGATTGCCTGTCTAGCAAATAAACGACCCCGCCCATGGAAAAATATTCTTCTCAACCCAACTGCAATCTCCCCACAAACAGGGACAATGGTCATGAAGCATCTTTCAAATTTTACGTCAGCGTCAGAAGCCGAGACGCTTCCAGACCCAACAGATGTGTAACTCTCTTCTTGTTTTACTTCAAGGTATGTTAGTCCTGTAGATCATAGGATCGGGGCTCTTTGAAACAAGCCCTGAAACACCCTGACACCCAGAATTCCGCAACCCAGGTGCGTGGAAAGGGTTGCTGAAAGAAGTGCTCAGGAGGGCTGGGTGCAACGGTGACGGGGACGTGTCGAAGCGGAAGCCCTGGCTTGGCGACTTTGAAGGTTGTGGAATGTAGAAAAAGGGTCTCCTGACAGCTTTTGGGCCCAGGATTTGGAAGTATAGATTTTAAGTAGAACTTATATACGCTTAGGAGGTGTCTCTGTAGGGCCTCAGGGCTGATGATTCTAGGCTTCGGATACCTTGTCCACAAATGGAAACAGCTTTGCTCTTTTAGTTTGGGCTATACAAGTTTATGGTTTTGCGTGAAGGCTGTCAATCGCTGGCAGTCATCTCAGAGCCTAAGAAAGGATGCCAACACTTTCTGGCGGTTGAAAAGGAATGAAGGAATGGAAGTGCACCGTTTATATCCGGGCACACACCAGGGCTAACTGTCTAGGTATCTGATGATCTGTTCTCCTCACTAACCACCTGCAGAAACAGCCAACGGAATTGAACTTGCGATTGTCTCCAGTTGCATATGGAATAGCAGTAAGGCAGGCCTCACCCAAGGATGTCAACAAAAGGTCTCTCCAACCGGCACATTGACAAAAGGCAAAGGAAGATGTCAATGGCAAGCCTAGGTATGACTACGCGACTGACTGACTACGCGACTGACTCTCCAGCCTTTGGCCTCCAACCCCTGGGCATTTTCCAGAAATTCGTCTGTGGCAGAAGATGGAGAAAAGGGCCCAGCACGTCACGACATGAGGCAGACAGAGGACACCGGCGACGCGCCCTGCTCGTTTAGGCGTGCTGAGGTTACAAGCGGTTTACGTAGGCCTCATATAGGGCACCCACCTGATTAGAACACACCTGGAACCCTGCTTAGATCACTAAGGCCGATGGCGTACTTGGGCACTCCTTCGCGGCTGGTTCTCAGGAGGACACTTGCCTGGAAATGCCCCTGCGCCCTTGCCGGCAAAAGGCCGAGAAGGGATGCTTTGCGGCTGCTTTCTAAAAGCCAGGCATGGCTTGGCATTCCAGGTACTGGATCGGTATTGTCATGCGAAGGCTTGGAGGACCAACAAGGAGATGTCAGCCGTCTGACTGTGATCTCACAGCTGGCCACCCTCAGCATCTTCGCCAACTGTTCAACGAAATCTACGCACGGCAGGAACATGAGAATTCCTTTGAAACGAGAATCTCTTCCCGGAGGTGCTTGGAGGAATCCAGATGCATTCGAGCCTTTTTAGGTTACTGCCACACAGATCCTTTCTCATATTCTGGACCCTTTTTGGTGATAGGATCCTTATGTGTGCGTCCTGTGCCGCCTGGCTGGAACTGCCTTTGCTTTTGGGACCCTCTTACGGGTCTCGGCAGTGAGGACCGTGAAGGCCATGTTTGGATACATACCGTGCCCCTGTTTCTTGGACGTGCTTGTATCAATGCCAGCAAAGCTGCGGTAGCCTGCCAGGAAAAACAACGCCAAGTGGCGTGCACCTAGCGAAGAAGCCTGCAACACGACAACAACCCAAGCCTAACAAAACAATGCGCCTGCGGCGGCTGAATCTCGAAGGACATGGGCATGGAAACCCTCACCTGCCACGTTTACTGCCCGTCTCTCCAAAACAAATACAGAACAAAAACACACACACACACACAACACGAAAGCGCAGCTACATTTCTAATGGGGCTTAGGTATGCAGAGATAAGCAGAAGTTTTGGCTGAATGAGGCCAGTCACTGGCACTGATACCAGAAGATGCCTCGGCAGGCTTTTTATCTTGGGAGCGTTATGGGAGTTTCTGAAGCTTAGGGTCTGCCTGGCCACCCCCCAAAATACAAGGCTTACATTGGCACCCATCTGGCAATTTGAAGAAATGCCCATAACGTGCCAAAATTCCCAAGGCTTGCTGAACTTCCATGCAAAAGAACAAGTCAAGGATGCATGCAACACGGCACTATGCTTTCAGAGGCTTTGCTCAGCCCAGGACCAAATTCTAGCCGTGGACCCATCAAGAGTTGAACTTCCAAGACTTCTATCTGCAACACAACCAACAAAACAACATCAACTGTTGGAGACACATCTTCCAACCCTGGCCTCCATCCTAAAACACGTAGCCCTCAATCAGCCATCTCACAACTAACCCCCAACAGTGAGAATCAACAACGGCCTTACAGCAAACCTAAAATTTCAGCAAAGCACCAAGACCTAACTCAAAACAAAGCTAACCTAGCTCAAGCAGAGCCCAGATGCACTGTGGCCAAGTTGTTCGTGTGCGACGAGGTTGTTGTCACACCCAAGTCTGCGGCGCAGCTAGCCATTTCACGACGATAAAAGCCCAATAATAGTAATAGTGGTATTGAAAACTCAGGAATCACGCAGGCAGGCAAGAAGTTGTAGAAAATAGGGAAAGCATGACATCTTGCAAAGTATAACCGCATCGTGACACACTATATGTTTCATATCCACCTATGCACACGTCTCCGCCTGGCAAGGGAATGCTGGGCAAGTGGCGCCCCTCAAACGCTGTAGCTGCGGCAATCAGGGTCCTACCAGATTAGGCTGCACAATGATGCTCCCCAAAAGTCTTTTGGTTCACATTTCTGAGATTTCGGACGACAAGCTACTCGCAAAATCAAGAAGCCGGGCATTCTTGGAAGCAATTCCAGATCCCGCACTTGGGAGGCTACCATGTTGTGATACCTCAATTGACACAAAACCAGCGGCCTCTAAAAAGCAAGCAAGAAGGCGAATGCATGAAGGGAAAAGCGTTGAGCACATGAGCTGATGATATCTTCTGTGGCCCTTTGCTCAATCTGGCATGGATTTAATTCAACAAGAGCAGGAAGTGGGATGTCTCTAAATGCATTCTTACTTGTTGTAGAACAAGGTACGCGCTGGCAAGCAGACAAGGTTTCTCCAGGATGGCTTTGCAGCTATGTGAGGTTGTACATAGACATACGTGTATGCAAACTATGCTCAATAGACTTGTGCAAACATGCTTCGATGGTGTTTCAGAAAATCTGCACCATTGCTGAGGCCAGATGGACAGTAATGAGGGTTGGAACCAGCCTCCATACTCAACCCATCAAGCCTCCAACCCCGAATCCTCAACTGAACGAGCAAAAATTCCAGCTTTTAGGTTTCTCAAAAATGAGCGGGAAGTCGTGGGCTCGAATCTAACAGGAGGCCTACACTGTTGAACAGCAAAGGCCAAACATACCGGAAGGGGCTGTGGTGTCTACAGCCCTGCCACGCCCCGTAAGCAGGAGGCCGTGGACTGGAACCCCGCAGTTGTTTAACAGCACAAGCTTGCAGTGCTGGGACTTGAGCCTGAGAACCTGCATGAGCAAGGTGTTATAGGCTCGCTGTGGACTTAGCATTACTGCGACCACCACCACCGTCGCCGCCACCACTGCTCCACAACTACAAATCAAATGCCATGCGCAGAGCTATGCGCGTTGAAACAGATGATGATTTTAGCTTTTTTCTTCGAACGTAGGATTGCAGTCTTGCTAGCTTCCCCATCCGATGGTGATGTTCTCATTGTTGCTGTTCTACTTACATAAGTGGCACAAGTGGCTTTAACTCAGCGAATACATCTGTCGTTACTGCTTCTCGTTTTGCAAATACCGCTGCTACCCAGAAGCTGAAACTATAAAACACTGAATTGAAAATCCCATGACTCTCCAGAACAACCC